CCTTCCTTCCCTCCTTTCTTCTCTCCTTCCTTCCCTCCTTTCTTCTCTCCTTCTCTCCTTCCTTTCCCCCTTCCTTTCCTTCCTTCCTTCCCCTTTTATGCTGCACGTTTGACTGTCTGTGTAACTTGATCCAAACCTTAGAAATCATTTTTTTATACTCGTGAACTAAAGGTTTGAGAAGCAGTCTTCTAATATTTAAGGGGCTGCGCCAAGGAAGGGGGGGGGTCCACCTATTTTTCAAAGCACCAGAAGTCAGGACAAGAAGCGACGGATGGAAACTAACCAGAGAAAGAAGCAACCTGGGATTAAGGAGAAACTTCCTAACAGTGAGGTCAATTAGCCAGTGGAACAGCTTGCCACCAGAAATCGTGAGCGCTCCAAACCCTGGAGGCCTTCAAGAAAAGATAGGACAGACATTTGTGTCCAGAATGGTATAGGCTCTCCTGCCTGAGCAAGGGGCTGGACTAGAAGACCTCCAAGGTCCCTTCCAGCTCTGCCCAATCAGATGGCATGACTGCAGAGAGCGAAGAGGCACCAAGTGCTATAACCACTTCCCTCTCCTGCCACTATGGAGCGCCAGAGAGCCCTGCAGCCGCAACCAGACCTTCTCCAGAAGCTCAGCATAAGCTTCTTTGCAAGTTTTGGGGAGCAGGGAAATTTTCTGCACCCCTTTCATGAAGAGGCGATGTTAAGCACCCTTCGTTGGCCCGGACGTTTTGTGTTAGTTGCAGCACAGAACATTGCATGGATCTGGGAGGGGGAGGAAGGACTGAAAACAGAAACACAGGTAGAGGAAGAGCGGTATTTACGTGCACCCCGTCAAGCAAATAAGACACACGGCCAGTGTGGGAAACGGGCAGCTGGGAGGGCAGAAATGGAGGAACACAGGCAGGAGCAGAAATAACCGGAGCCCTTAGACCTGGGGTGAGAATTGATGGAGAATTAATTCTCTCCAGCCACCAGTTTAGGCCCCGGAGCTTGTTTTGCTCAGGCAATTCAAACAGGGAAAGTGGTTTATGAGCTAATTATAAAAGCCACCCACAGGATTCCCCCCTGCCCAATCCATAAACACCCTGCAAAGAACAATAGTTAGCAGCAGTTAGTAACCACCACGGAGAACTGTTACTCCTTTGGGCACAAATTAAACCATTGATTACGATTCTTAATGGCTTGGATTGTGGATACCTCACTCTGTGTGTTTGTGTGTGTGAGAGAGAGAGAGAGAGAGAGAGAGAGGGAG